TATGAAACCAATTTATAGCTTTCTTATGAAAGCTATAATCCAGTTATAGCCCAAGAAGAAGAGGAAAGGGAGATGAGGGGAGGGGAGACAATGGGTGGATAGAGGGTAAGTGGTGGGACTACACCTACAATGCATCTTACAAGGGTACATGTGAAATTTACTAGGTGTAGAATATAAATGTCTTAACACAATAACTAAGAAAATGCGGTGAAGGCTATGTTCTAGTTTGATGAAAATACTTCAAATGGTATATAAAACGAGCACATACCCCATGATTGTATTAATGTACACAGCTATAACTTAATAAAAAAAAAAGAAAGAAAGAAAACACAAAGCTGAGCAAAAGAAAACACTAAACTAGGAATTGAGTAATATATTCTTTACAAAATATATTTATACTTCAATACTGAAGCCAGCATTTTACTCAGTGTTTTGAAATTAATAGAATATACATGTGTAACAAAAACTCCCATTTATAATAGTAGCCAAAAGGTGAGTGAGGGATACTAACAAATATACGAAACTTCTATGAAGAAAACTTTAGAAAAACTTTACAAACTTGACCCAAACTGTGATTTAGTTTTGAAAAATTGAATAGACTTTGCCAAAATTCAAAACTTCCCTTCAAAAGACACTGATAAGGGAATGAAAATATAGGCCACAGACTAGGAAAAAATAGTCATATGTCATGTTACTTAGTGATTGTTAGGTAATGTTGCATTGTTAAGTAATATTGTAGTTGTGCAAACATAGATTGTGCTTACCCAAACCTAGCTGGTATATTGTATGTAACCTTTTGCATCTAGCTTACAAACTGGTACGACATGTTACAGCACTGAATACAGTAGGCAGTTTTAACATTATGGTAAAGATTTGTGTATCTAAACATAGAAAAGGTACAGTGAAAACACAATATAAAAGATTTTTTTGTAACCTGTATACCTGTATCAGGCACTTACTGTGGAATTTGCAGGGACTGAAAGTTGCTTTGGGTGAGTCAATGACTGTGAGTGGTTAGTGAACTTAAATACCTTGGACTTTACTGTATACTACTGTAGAGTTTGTAAATACTGTATACTTAGGCTATGCTAAATTTATTCAAAATGTTTTTTTCTCTTTAACAAATTAGCCTTAGCTTACATTAACTTTATTACTTTATAAGCTTTTAAATTATTTTTAAAATTTTTGACTCTGATAATAAAAAACCTAAATATATTGTCCAGCTGTACAAAAAATATTTCCTTCCTCTGTATCTTATTCTGTAAGCTTTTTCTATTTTTTAATTTTTTATATACCTTTTAAACTTTTTGTTATAAAACCTAAACACATTACCTTGGCCTACACAGGATCAGGATCATCACTATCACTGTCTTTTACCGCCACACCTTGTCCCACTGGCAAGTTTTCAGGGGTGATAACACTGATGAAACTGTCGTTTCCTATAATAAGAGGGCCTTCTTCTACATCACCACTGGACGTGCCTAAAGATGTTTTACAGTTAACTTTTCTTATATAAATAGGAGAAGTAAACTAAAAAAGCAATTGAAATATGGTATAGCCAGTACATAAGCTAGTAACATGGTCTTTTATCTTCATTATTAGGGATTATGTACTGTGCATAATTGTACTTAATTGTATGTGCTATACTTTGATATGACAGGCAACACAATTATTTTTTTAAGTAATGCATTGTACTAGGACTTTAAGATGACACAAGGTAAAAGGAATTTTTCATATTGCAATCTTATGGGACTACCATAATATATGTGGTTTATAGTTGACCAAAATGCCATTATGTGGTGCATGACTATATTTGCAAATCACAGAGCTGATAGTAGTACTTCTCAAACTGGTCTATAGATTCAATGCAATCCCTATCAAAATCCCAGCTGCCTTTTTTTTTTTTTTTCAGTTTTTTAGGCTGGGGCTGGATTTGAACCCACCACCCTCAGGCATGTGGGGCCAGTGCCCTAATCCTTGAGCCACACACACTGCCCTGCTTTTTTTTTTTTTTTTGGCAGAAATTTCATGCAGAAGTTGGTCTTTAATTTCATGTAGAAATACAAGGGACACAGAATAGTCAAAATAGTCTTAAAAAGGGAGAAGATAAGTACAAGACTCAAATTTTCTGATATCAAAACTTACTATAAAATGACAGTACTCAAAACATTGTGGTTCTACCATGAGAATAGACAAATAAATCAGTGGAGTATAATTGAGAGTACAGAATAAACCCTTCAATTGATTCTTCACGAGGGTGCAGGGACAATTTAATGGAGTTTTCAACAACTGGTGCAGGCAAAACTGAATGGTCTTATGCAAAATAATGAAATTGGATGTTACCTTTATAACATATGCAAAAATTAACTGCAAGTAGATCATAGACCTAAATGTAGGAGGTAAAACGATAAAACTCTTATAGGAAAACATAGGAGGGAATATTAATGACTTTAGATTAAATAGATAATGGTTTCTTAGATCTGGTACTAAAAAAGCAACAAAACAAAAATAGATTGAAGTTTATCAGAATTAAAACTGTTTGTGTTTCCAAGTATCCATCCGGAAAGTGAAAAAACAACCCACACAGTGGAAGAAAATATTGACAAATCATGTATCTGATAAGGGACTTATATCCAAAATATATAAAGAACTCTTATATTCAGCAATAAAAAAACATAATTTATAAATGGGCAACAAATTTGAATAGATGTTTCTCCCAATACAATAGAACCTCTATTGGCCACTTCCCTCTCTACATTGACCATCTTAAGTTGACCTAATTTTCATAGACATGACATATACCACATGTACATAACAGTACAGTGGGCCTAGTTCCTTATGTTGACCACCTTTATATGTTGACCAGTTTATTACAGTCCCTTGGGTGGTCAACTTACAAAAGCTATATTGTATATACAAATGATCAGTAAACATATAAAAGATACTCAACATCTTTACTTATTAGAGAGATGCTAATCAAAATTGTAATGAGCTATTCTTCACACTCACTAGATGACTTATAACATCGAAAAGGCAGACAAAACCAATTGTTGGTGAGGATGTGGCTGTACATTATTGGTGAGATTATGAAATTTTCTAGCCATTTTATAAATCAGTTCAGAGGTTACTGAAAACATTAAACATAGATTTACCACAACCCAGCAATCCCTTTTATAAGTATATACTCAAGAGTAATAGACAATATGTCCACACAAAAATATATCAAAAATGTTTGTCACGTGATTATTCATAATATTCATAGACAAAAAGAGGAAACAACTGAAATGTTCATCAGCTGATTATGAATAAGCAAAATGTACCATAATCCATATAATGGAATATACACAATGAAAAGGAATGAAATACTGACAAATGGTATAAATGGGTAAACCTTGAAAATGTTATGCTAAGTGAAATAAATAATTTTCATATTGGCCACATACTATATAATTCCATCTATGTGAAATGCCCAGGATAGGCAAATCCATAGAAATAGAAAGTAAACTAATGATTTCTAGGGACTAGGCTGAAGGGGGAATAGGGAATGTCTCTTAATGGTTATGGGCTTGTTTGGGCAGGATAATGGAAATGTTATAAAGTTAGGTAGGGGTGATGTTTACAGAACTCTGTGTAATGTAATGAATACGGAGAATGCCCCAAAGATATACTAAAAATCATCAAATTATACACTTGAAGAGGATTAATTTTCTGGTTTTTAAATTAAACATAAATGTACTACATGATCCAGCCATTTCACTCTTAGATATTTTTGTAAAGGAAAAGAAAGTATGTTTTCATACAAAGATTTGTACACAAGTGTTTATAGCAGTTTTATTTGTAATCACCAAAAACTAGAAACAAACCAAATGTCCATCAACATGGTATACTACTACTCAATAAAAAATGAATTATTAATACATTCAACAATATAGATGAGTATCAAAATAGTTATACTGAGTGAAAGGAACTAGACAACAAAAGAGTACATTCTTTGCAATTTCATCTGAAACTAGAAAGTACAAACCATTCTACAGTGATGGAAGGTAGATCAGTGGTTGCCTAAGCATAGGCTTTCTTGGGAAGCCAGATGAAGGGATTATAAAGGAGTATGTGAGAACTTGCAGGTGATGGCTATGTTGATTATTTTGTTTATGGTTTACTTTGATTGTGGTGATGCTTTCACAGGTATGTATGGTGGCATAGGTGTATACATATGTTAAGGCTTATTAAAGTGTAGCTTATTGTATACCAATTATATGAATTAAGGCCAAGCACAGTGGCTCACAGATATAATTCTAACACTTGGGGAGGTTAAAGCTGGTGGATTTCTTAAGCTCAGGAGTTTGAGACCAGCCTGAGCAAGATCAAGACTCCCTCCATCTCTAAAGACAGCCAGGCATTGTGGCGGGCACCTGTAGTCCCAGCTACTTGGGAGGCTGAGGCAAGAGAATCACTTGAGCCCAAGAGTTTGTGGTTGCTGTGACCTATGACACCATGGCACTATACCAAGGGTAAAAAGTCAGACTGTCTCAAAAAAAATTAATATGAATTAATTTATAAGTTATTGGCAAAATGAAAAGAAAATCATTCCTCAACAGTTAGACTGTGTGGTGATTATACAGACCAATTTACGTAAATGTTCCATGAAGAGACACTTAGATTATGGTAGCTTAATAGATTTTAGTGTTCCTGAAAAGAAAATTTTATGCCCAGAAGGATAGGGAGTTGGAAAAAATAGGATGAGAAAGCACTGAAGTAACTGGACTACATAAGACACTGTTATTTTATTTTTACTGGTATGAATCTATTTGGTATTTCAATAGAAAGTAATGTATTTCTCTTTCATCTTATCTTTCAGTGTTTCTTTTGCATGAAACCTGTCCTAATTATTAGATAGTAGTTTGGAGTGGTTGTCCCTGGCCCAGCTACAACTAATTTGAGTTCAAAACCTAAATTTTGGTGTTTTAGTCTGCCTAATTCCCATGGCTTGTTCTCCTCAGTCCTACACACCTCCAAGCAACGAGTTCAAGATCAGCATGAAATTGGAAGCACAGGACCCCAGGAATACCACATCCACCTGTATTGCCACAGTAGTTGGACTGACAGGTGCTCGCCTTCGCCTGCGCCTTGATGGCAGTGACAACAAGAATGATTTCTGGCGGCTGGTTGACTCAGCTGAAATCCAGCCTATTGGGAACTGTGAAAAGAATGGGGGTATGCTACAGCCCCCTCTGGGTGAGTAAGTAGACCTAATCTCTCCCTAGCCAATCACTTAGCTTCCAAAAATTGAACATCCTATTATCAGAAAGCTTAGGGACCCCAGTTTGTTTCTCCTTTTTTATAAGTACAGAAAAGTCCACACAGAATGAAAAAGAGCTGCAAAATTTGTTACACCGCCATCTCTAGGTTAGCTTATGATGTCCAAGCTTCTCCTGAACTCTTCTTCTTTTAACTGGAAACTATGCCCTTTGTTATTCTTTATCAATGTCCATTTATCTGAGGAAAACAATGGAAGACATGTAATCTATCACAAAAACAAAATTTTCACCAAATCCCATAATGATGACAAGGAGTGAGAGAAAAATCACCCAGTAGAAAGGATAACTATTAAAGTATCTTTTATCTCTTTTGTACATATTCTCACTTGATCCTTGGAATTTTCTCATTTTGAATCTATTATTAAATAAAATTCATTATTTTACTTAAATTAAATTTTCTTTTCCAGATTGGATTTATCTTTTTTTTTTCCTCTTAAAACCAGAGGGATTCAGCCCATCTTATCAGTTACTGATTGCAGTGAGTCACTATTGCAGTGAGTTTCCATAGGGGATAGAAAGAAATGAGTTAGGTCCTTTCCACTATATTCCCCTCATGAAGCGGTGCCAGAGTAATTGAGGGTTAGAGAGCATGTATCATTTGAAAGAGCTCCCCAGGAGCTTGTTTAACATTTTCTCCCATTTAAAAAAGATATTTCTTATGTAAAATTTCAAACATATACAAAAGCAGAGAAAAATAGCACAGCAAATGCCCATGTATCCTTCATTGTTGATAATTACGAACACATAGTCAATCTAGTTTCATCCATACTTCTCCCTGCTCCCCCTCCTGCCCAATTGCTAAACCATGAAATATTTAGTAAGTCTCTCTCAAAGCCAAGAATAATCAGTCTTTAAATTTTCCCAGTTGTTTGTCTCTGCCTATCTTTGTCTCTTTGGCCTCCCTCAACATTTTCTTTGAATCAGGATCTAAATAAGATCCATACATTGCAGTTAGTTATATCCCTTAAATTTCTTTCAATCTGTTGGTTCTTCTCTCTCATTTTTATCCTTTGCAATTTGTTTATTGAAAACTCCATGTCATTTGTCTTTAAATTTTCTCATAGTTGTATTTTGATGATTGTATACTTACCATTTAACATGTTTCTCTGACCAGTATCCTACAAATTGGTAGCCAGATCTAGAGACTTGGTCACGCTCACATTCAGTTTTTATAAGAATATTTCAATAGGTGGTGGTACTAATGGAAGCATATACGGTCTGGTTGTGTCTTGTTTTATAATGTAGCCGCCATTAATGCTCATGGTCTAGATCAGGAGTTGACAGATTTTCTTAGTGGATCAGATAGTAAATATTTTAGACTGGCAGGTCATACATTCTCTGCCATATAATGCAAAAGCAGCCAAAGACAAAATGCAAATGAAAAAATGATTTAAGTATTTAAATGTCCATCTCTAAAAGCTAGAAAACGAATTATAAAGCATATACAAAAGAAGAAAAATAATAAATTAATGGAGTAGAACACAGGAAAGCAATAAATCAAAAGGATTGGTCCTTGAGTGGAAAAATGAAATAGATAAACCATTAGTTAGTATAGTAAAGAAAAAAAAGGGATAGACACAAATACACAGAATAAGCAATGGCAAAGGAGATGTTAAATGCGATCTGGCTGCAACATCTGTCACCCCATTGATTACCAGGGTTGATTCAGCTGATCTGGCTGGCTAGGTGGTGTCCCCTTCCTCCCTCACCACTCCATCTGCATCCCTCCTGAAGCTGCATGCTGGGTTGAAGAGGAAGACCTTCCCTGATAGAGGAGGACAATTCTTCAGTCAAGGGAATACGAATAGCTGCACTTCCCTGCTAAAACTTCCAAACAACCTTTCAAGAAATGGCAAAGGGGGCTTGGCGCCTGTGGCTCAAGTGGCTAAGGTGCCAGCCACATACACCTAAGGTGGCAAGTTCGAATCCAGCCCTGGCCACCAAACAACAATGATGGCTGCAGTCAAAAAATAGACAGGCATTGTGGTGGGTACCTGTGGTCCCAGATACTTGGGAGGCTGAGGCAGGAAACTCGCTTGAGCCCAGGAGTTGGAGGTTGCTGTAAGCTGTGATGCCATGGCACTCTACCCAGGGGGACAGCTTGAGGCTCTGTCTTAAAAAAGAAAAGAAAGAAATGGCAAAGGGGTGGGGACAGAGGCAAGATGGCTGACTGGAGCCATCTTGCCAGAGAGGCTCCCCTCCAGAAGAAGAGTTAAAGGACAGAAGTTTAGCAAGTAAGGTGATGGTTTGGAGCTGAACCAAAAGAGAAGGTTACAGAATGCACCACAACCCTGCTGAGGCGAGCTATGACCCCCAAGGAAACAAACAATAGGTACAAAATCCATCGCCAAGTGGACAGGAGTCCCCTCCCCCATGAGAACAGCTCACAGTATACTTTCTACAAACAAGCAAGCAGAGTTCAGATCTCCTCATATTTTATCCCACAGAAGAGACCCTCTAAAAACCAGAACTCCTTCCCCAGAGAGGACCCACTAGTGTGCCATGGCACTCTCTTGCCAGACATAAAACTACATATATTCTCTACCTGCAATTCTGAACTCCCAGCATTCCCGTCCACTCTTACCCTGAGGTCTGGAAGCTTGTCCCCCATGGAGTCCAGATTGTTGGGCATTTTCTTGAGAGGTATGGACAAGGTGTGGGCTGTTGCAGGTCTGTGCTGATTCTGTGGCACGAGTGTAAAGAGAGGATTGGACTGAGAGGGAAAAGCAGTGCCCTGTGGCACAGAGCAGCAGCCCCTGCAGTGCGAACACTAGGGCTCACACCCCTGGGAATATTTTGGAGACACTCCCCACCCCACCTCTCTTGGCAACCAGAGAAAGCTAGGCGCTACTCCAGTGGCAGCCACTGGCAGGACAGATCTGGGATGGAAATGCAGCCCCCATGAGTAAAGTGTATGCCTGAGGCGGTACCTGCCCAGGCAGGGCATGGCGGGGATGGAGACTAGAATACATGGGCTCAGAAATGGCATACTCCCAGGGTGGGGCTGAGTCAGAAGTGCTGCTTTAGTGAGCCTAAGAAGTACCCGAACCCCAGGGGAACATAGCTGAGACAAAAGTAGGTGGGGCAACAGCACTAGCCCGGAAGAGGCAAGAACTAAGAGCTGAGTGGGAGCTCTAACCACACGCACCCCAATACAGAGTGCAGTGGAGACAGAAATGCCAGCTCTGTGAGAATTGGCGCAATGGCAGTGGCACACAGAGGCGCTGAGTTGCAGTTTCTGTGAACTCAAATAGCGCCTGGCCCATAGGGGAATATAGCAGGGACAGAAATACTAATTTTGCCAGAATATAAGTGGCAGCACATCAGTCTGGGGTGGGGCTGAAACTGAGTGAATGGCCTCGGCTTCCATTCAGTACCTGAGGTTGTCAGGCTTCAGCTCCCCCTGCTGCCTGGTGGCAGAGTGTGGTGGGCTAGATGAGGAGACAGATCTCCTTGTGACTCAGCTGAGACTTCAACCCAGAGTTACTAATTCACTAGGATGGGAAAGAGACCAGCTGAAAACACGACAGAGCCACTTAGCCCCACCACACCAAGCAGGTCCCCAGTGTCTCAGGCTGTAGCACTGTATAGGTCCGTTGCAAAGCTCTAGCTGAAAAGGTACAGACACCAGTCCCAGCTCTTTGGCAAAGGGCTGGTTAATCCCTACTCCGGGAGCCCACAACCCAACTTCACCTTATCTGCTCAACTAGCCAAACAGTGTAAAATAATCATGGGGCCGAATCAGCGGAAAAACTCCAGTAACATGAATAACCAGAGTAGATCAACTCCCCCAAGGAATGATGTGGTGGACAGAACTGAAGATCCCATTCATAAACAAAAGGCTGAGATGTCAGAAATCAAATTCAGAATTTGGATTGCAAAGAAGATTAATAGAAAGGAGGTAAAGTTGGAATTAGAAACTCAAGGAGCAATTGAAAAGTTGTCTGAAGAATTCAATGAATTCAGCTCAGCGTGTGGTTCAAGTGCCTAAGGTGCCAGCCACATACACCTAAGGTGGCAGGTTTGAATCCAGCCCCGGCCACCAAACAACAATGACGGCTACAACTAAAAAATAGCTGGGCACTGTGGTGGACACCTGTGGTCCCAGATACTTGGGAGGCTGAGGCAGGAAACTCGCTTGAGCCCAGGAGTTGGAGGTTGCTGTGAGCTGTGAAGCCATGGCACTCTACCCAGCGGGGCAGCTTGAGGCTCTGTCTCAAAAAAAAAAAAAAAAAAAAAAATATGAAATTTGTTTCACCTCTCCTTTAACTGGGCAGACAGACCTTGGTATTTGCCACAGTGAATAAAGTGTGGCACCAGTGACGCTGTGTGATTTTCTGGTCATAAAAGGCAACACAGTTTCCATGTGGGT